AGTCTCTGTGAGAGCCTGTGCACCATACACTTAGTTGATTCCATGGGCTGTGTTCTCCTGGTGTAGAATTTTTAGTGATTTCAAAGAAGTCGCAGATTTCTCTTTATGTCTATGGAAACTGATGTGGTGTTTTCCTGGCCTCTTCCTGATCCTACGTTCTGTATTTACTGAGGCTTTTTAAAACATATAAAAAAAGAAGAAATTTATCTGGAGCATATGAAATCCATTTAAATTTTAAATCTTTTTTAACTCTTTTTTTTTTTTGGAGATTAGCTTGATGACAAGAAAAAAAATAACTTTCTGGAAAGTCTGTGACAGTTTGTTGACCAGAGTTGTGGCCAGTAGTACATGGAAATGAAGACACTACGGGGTCTTGACAGTGTGGTTGGGTGTGTCACTTCATGTACCTCTAGGTCATGTACATAGTAGTTTTCCTGACGGTTGTGCCTTTGACCAAAAAAGAAAGAATCAGTAACTTGGACACTGGATTTCTTTAGAATGGTCTTGATACAGGAAGCTGCCCTCAGGTCTCCCCAGGGCTCTCTTGAAGCCTCCTAGCAATCATGGGCACAGTTTTCTTGGCAAGGGCAGCAAAAGAACACGGATCCCCAAATGTTAATGACTCTTCTTTGTCCTTCATATTCTTAGCTTCCAAAATGCAAAGAAACCTGAGATGTAGTAAGAAGTTCCTAATGCCTTATCTTCTATTGTTGGGGGAAAAAAAAACAAAGCAAAACTATTCAGGCACACAGATCATATTTGTGATACTTTTCCAGTCTTTCTTAACTGCTTCAATGACGATAGGTTGGAAAAAAAAAAAGACAAGAGAACTTGGAAAGTGGAGAGCTGTGAAACATTCATGTTTTGTCTCCTCCACAAGTTCATTTTGGGGCAAGTGCCATTTGGATGGGGATTAACTCCATCGGAGATTTTGAATCTTTTTTAACTTTAATTTTAATCTCATATTTTTAATAATAATATAAAAAAGTCTGCATCTCTGAAAGATCTAAACCTGTAGTGACAAAGCACTGTGTTCAAAAAGGAATAAAAAAGGGGGGTTGGTGGGTGGGTGGGAAGGGGGGGAAGTTTTGAAAGCAGCCAGCGGCTGTAAGAGAGATAGTGAAGGCAGAAGATTTGTGACAGAGTGGAGCATGAAACCCATCAGCTGATGAGTGAAAATCCCTGGTTTCTAATTAATCGAGGTACACAGGCCAAGGGATGAAGAGGATCAGGGAAATGAAATCAGGAAGAAGATAGCATCAGTCATTTCTGTGGCCCATTGTCATACTTCAGAATCTCCTGTAATGAATCACTCAAGCATTCCACAGATACATTCAAATGGCGAAGAAAATGCATTGTCCGGTGAAGAGTGTCCGATAAGGATCTCTTCCCCCCCCCCCCCCCCCCACTCTGCCAGAAGCCTATGATCAGAAAAGGAAATCCAGACAGCACAACAGGTGTGCTCTTTGCAAGCGTGCTGAAATCTGCAAATGAGTCAAGTATGGAAGAATTTTTTTGTACTATATTTTTTCCCTCCCAAAGTGTGTGTGGGGAGGGTGTGGGATGAGGGGCCCGTGGAAGGGAGGTCTTATCAACAAGAGGACTTGGGGGGGGGCGGACGGAATGGGAGCTGAAGAGAAGAATAAAATCCTTCTATGGTTGTGCAATACATGGCCCTGTAAGAGCTTAAGTAGGGATAACAAAGGACACCAGTTGGACATGCGGGGCTGGCTCAACTTGTTGAATTTAGGAAGGGGCACACTCCCCTCAAAGGACTTACAATGCAGTGAAGGAAGTTCCACATAGGGCATCCAGGCTCTGGTGGGAAGACAGAAACCGTATCCTCCAAGTCACATGGCTGTTCTTGGGCTGTTGGATGGTTCCTCAAGGAAGTCATGGAGATCCAAAGGACTAGGGCACAGTTTTCAGCATGGAAACTGTAGCCAAATGTTCCCAAAATTCAGGCCCTGGGCCTTCCTTGGCTATAGCTCACTTTTGTGGCAATCATATATTTTAATAGAGAAACAGTCATCAAGATTTGCAGCTATCTGTGCCACTGGCTCAACAGCAACTTGACCCAGAATGACCTGGGCCAAGTGTATTTGGCATTAGGAGACATGCAAAAATAATTGTTTTCTAATAACCAGGTACCATACTGAGAAGTAAAAGGATGGTGAATTCATTTTAAATTCAATTACTATAATATAGGGTTTCGCTCTCTATATTATCAATCACCAAGGCACTTTGGGGTTGATAATATTAAAATTGCAACACTAACGAGAATTCTACTTCATGATTAAAATAATTTTAATCACGGGTAGATTACAAATCCACTTACAGTTACTGAGAATTCTATTATCTCTGTTCTCTTTTGAAAAGACATGTTTTCAGGAAGCAATAAAAGATTTCTAAGGTATGCAGTGTCTATAGCATGTGGAGCTCAGGTTTTGGGAAACCCTTTGGAAAGCTTAAACACTGTTAAGATTTAGGTGACAGAATGTGGCAGGGAACATGGCTGTGGTTACAGGTGGGCACAAAGTCCTCTATCTTCATAGCTTCTGTTCACTCTACCCTTTAAGACAAAGAAAATGTTTTCAGATGTCTTCTGTACCAGGTGTCTGTGTATCGGATATTGGGGCATCTAGTAGATCACGGGTATGGTCCCAGCTCCACAGTCTGGATAACAGTAATGACTTCCATAATCCTGAGGAGATTGGAACCTTAAGCAGGTTTCAACTCCATTTATTAGGGTTTCAATGAATAAGCTTAGACAGACCAGTCCTCAGGTCTAGGTCTTCGTAGGAATTAGCTAGAGCACGCAAGACTCATCTCTTCCTCTTCTTCCTCCATCTCATGTCTGTCTATATGTCTGTCTGTCTGTCTGTGTCTCTGTCTATCAGCTATCTGTCAACTATGCAGCCATCTATATCTACCTATATCATCTGTCTGTCTATCATCTATCTATTATCTATCTATTATCTGTCTATATCAATCTATCATCTATCCATTTTCTATATCATCTATCATATATCTGTTCATTTTTCTACCTACCTATCATCTATCATCTATCTATTCTCTCTGTACATATATACATACTTTTGTACCTCCATAAATTAAACTAATTGAGCTATCTCTGCATGACCCACATATCCCCAGTTGCATTTTGTAGGAACATATAGGATACATAACATTTTCTGGAGTTTTGTCTAGGATTGAGCTTGGGCATGAATTATTTTGAAAGACCCACTAATATTTCTACTGTTCAGTCAGGGTTAAAAATTCCCATATCACCCAATGTAAATATTACCTATAGAACCAATGCTCTGGGTAATAATTGAAAAGATCCTCAGTTCTTCTGGTAAACTGAGGAAATTCATTCCTAGGACCTGAGTCACTTGCAGCAGATTTATACAGTTTCAATCACAGAACCTTTTGCAATTTTGCAAGAAATATACAACTTCATATAATACTTTATGATCACCTTTCCTATATTTCACTTTGTTTCTCCAAATATTATCAATATTACCAGATATTTTATAGTAACTGGATCAAGCAGAGTCTACTTATTACTGCTCATTAGTTATTGAATATTTTATATCTGAAACATTTAATTTGGTAGATTTTATTATACCCAAAATTAATTGATCAAGTATAAACATACAGTTATTAATTGTAAATTAAAAATAGATTTAAAGTCTGGAATGTGGAAATGTGGAATTGTGATAAGTAATCATGGGCTGTCATGTATTGATAATTATGAGGACGAGAAATGAACACAAGGGAGACAATCATACCGTGTATTTAATTTCATACTTTTTTATTAGTAAAACGTTTAAAATCAAATAATTGCATGCATGGCTTTAGGAAGGGGCTGATTGAAGATACTGCAAGCATTAGAAGAGACTAGATAATAGACACAGGTGGTAGGAATTCAGTGGTAAGGAACTGTCAAATTATCCCCATTGCTCGTCTCTGCTTGGTGTGGTTGTACCGTAGGTCCCGGTCAGTTATTTTCTGCTCTGTGAACTGAGTTAGCTCTCCAAATTTTGGCATTTCTTGGGGCAAGGACATATACTGACTGCTTTCTCTGCATTATCTTGCCATGCTTACACTTAACTCACATGCACTTTGTGCGTTACAAGTCAAGCAGAAATAAAAATGAGCAGTCTCTACTGCGACCATCGTAACTTTCTCTGTATTCTTTGTTTTATTGTCCTCCCTTTCGGGGGTTTTCTTTCTGCCTGTACTCTTTCTTCACTTGTAACCTTCACCCTTGGTTGTGCACCTTTGTTTGTCTTTTTCTCCCGTCTCTTCTTATCACCGTGGAATCTAGCAGTTAGTAATCACAAACATTTACTTGGCCCATGTATGCACTCTCTGTTTCCTATAGGATTCATATGTCTTGCATATGTGTACCGTGCCATAGGCACAGACATAGCAGTAATTAGTTTTAAAAATCAGTGTATTGCTGTCACTTAAGACATCCCACAAGCGTGGAAACTGCGCCCCATACTGGTCCCCTGCTTTGGCGGAACTCCGAATAAATTACATTTCTAGAGCCTGCCAGCTCTCCAATTCCAGTTTACTGCACTTTGGAGCAACAGCTTCCCTCCCTGTGCTGCTTATTTTTGTCTTTGTTGGTTTATTTTTATCTTCCTGTTCTTGTAGCTGAACAATAACTTTGCAGGGAATAACAGTCACTGCTGTGTCCAGAGCTTCTTGGGCTTAAGTCCTTAATTAGGACAAATGATTTGGGTTATGATTGCAAAAGGGAACCCAGCTCTATACTTTTCACTCCTAAGTGTCATCATTTCACGTGCCTGTTTAATATTCTAAATTGAGAAACACCTGGATACATATGCAAGCTTAAATGCAATTTTCTTTCAAGCAATGAACTGGGTTTATTGTGGTGTCTTGGCATTTAGAGACATAGGAAGCTTTGGGCTGTCATATTTCACAGAAACAAAACAGAATTCTGATTTCTGGTATTGAATCGCAGACATATTTTTTTTGCCAGTGCATACCCGAGTGTATGAAATCAGTTGACAAAGGGGATGGACAAGGAAAGTTGTAAATAAGTGACTCCATTTGAGACGCGAGCATGGTCATTGCACGGTTCACTGTTTTAGCCCAGCTGCTTGCAAACTGAAGGATATATCAGGAAAAATGATGTATCGGGGTAGGGGGGAGAAAAAAAGGGGAAAAGAGCCCCGTAACTGGGCAGATAGTCTGCAGGAGATCAGTTCCCCAGCTTTCTCCAGAGTCAGCATGGCCAATATTTATCATACATGGATGTGTGTTTGCGCGGATAAGGTACCCAGTTAAGATTTTCGGAGACTGAACTAGAGTGTCGTTTGAGACACAGCCTGATTGGACTACACTCAGAAGCAAAGTGTCTTGAGAGGCCAACGGAGAAAGAAGGTGAGCAGGCTGGACAGCCCGTGGTGCCAGCTCTAATATCCAGTGCAATTATTTTGTGGACATCCACTCCTCGCCGGCACAGGAGATAGGGCTATAAGTGTATGTTATTTTTTAATTACAAGGGGGGTTGGAAAAAACCCCGATGATGGGCTGGAAGGTGCCATTGCATTGTTATTTTTTTCCTCTCCCTTCGTTTGCTGATTATGTGAGCCGGGCTCCTTTGCTAGCCGATGATAAGCAGAATTTCCATGTTCTCTGCATAATTAATCCATCTCTGCCTCTCTGCTTGCCAACTCGCCCGTTATCGCCGGCACATGCCTGAATTGCAAAAGAATCCGCTCTTCAATTGGAACTTATTGATATTCTAAGAAAAAGAGAGAGAGAAAGAGAGAGAGAGAGAGAGAGAGAGAAAGAGAGAGAGAGAAGGAGAGAGAGGGAGGGAGGGGAGGGAGGGAGGGAGAGAGGAAAGGGGGAAAACTGAAAATCCTTAAGTTTAAGCCGCAGATTTTTAAATGGATTAATTTCGTTGCAATCGCAGCCATCTAAGGCAGGAAGGCAGGCACAGCAAATTGAAAGCGTCTCCATGTTTGCAGAATTGGGTCCAGGACGCTGAAATGTACTGGCATGGCTCTCTCTTTTAAAGTCGGGAAAATTACCATTCATTTACATCGCATGAAATACTTTTTTTTTCTTTTTATGCCGGAAATATTCCAAGGCGGTTCTTTAAATGCCTGCTAATGCTTGATAACATTTCTAACTTTCAACATTTCGCTAGACTTTGATATGACATGATAGGAAAGCCTTCCAGTAGAGGATATTATATCTGCCTTTATCACATATTAGATTACATCATTCTTTTCTTAATCGTCCCCACGCAGTCTTTAAACAATGAGAGCTGTCATTGGCTGTGTAGAATTTGCATGCTGATGGACATCAAGGTTAGTAATTTATTTTCAAGACTATCTCCAAATGAAATACTTGTTTTTGCTTGATTTTTTCCCTCATTCAAACAGTGTTCATGTAATGACAGTAGCAATGTAACAATCAAAATAAGTTATCAGCAGTTATTGTCTTGACTATATTTTGAGTCATAAATAAAGTTTTACTTTTCTAGGGGCTCAGTTCCTCCTCATTTTAACTCATACATCACGGCACTTTGACATCTCCTGTGACTTAGAAAGGGACCAGTATTTGGGAGTCATTCTACAAAGTGTGTAGTAAAGAATCACATATACAAAAACTTCTGGGTCCAGGTGCCCTGCAATTTCCTCATGAAAACTATGACTTGCTTAGACGGCAATATTTGCTTAATCCTGCGATACAGTATATGCTAATGCCCCTGCTCCAGGAATGGAGACTTGCCAAGACAGAGTTTCCTTAGTACTCTGTCAGTGTGGGAGGACAGAGTCTCACCAGCCCGCAGCCAAAGCTGGTCTGCCCAGGAAGACAGACAAGCTCTTAGCTCAAGAGCAAGGAATGCCAGGAGGGAAAGCACAAATTCAGATATTCAAAATACACTTACCATTGAATACTCTGTGTAGGTTTTGAATTCAGCAGACCGTCAAAGGGGGAAACATACTAAACACAAAAAATAAGTACCAATTTAACTGAGATGTGCATTTATGTGAGAAAAGAGAGAGAGAGAGAGAGAGAGAGAGAGAGAGAGAGAGAGAGAGAGAGAGAGAGAGATACACTGAGCGGTGGTACTCTGTGGAGGCATTTGTTTCAATTACAAAACCAAAGGCCTACTTAGCAGGAAACACAGATATTAGGATATGAAGGTCTGTACTATCAGAGGGTGATTTAAAATATTAACTTATTAACTTGTATTTCTTTTCTCAGAAGCAACCAAAACTTATAAAGGGATAGAAAAATATGTAAGATAACTATACTTCTCTACTCAGAAAAAATAATTGAGTAATGATTACTATAAATAATTAAATGATACAGTTTCAAATTAGTATTTTTGTCTATGAAATAATACATAATTCTTAGACTACAGACAGGCTTGAAAACAGAGTACACTGTAGGCTGCCCACTTGGCAATTTTGTACAGTCAGCCAAACACTTTAAAGCAATTTTAAAAATGAAATGAAAAATGACCCTTCTTAAAACAGATGTAGCAAAACCATTTCAATCATAAACAACAATTTCACTGACCTTGTATATGAAGTCCTTTATTTGAAGGCATGAATTAAAAAGACTTAAGGCTAAAGAAGATGAAATGTCTGAGAATTATGACCTGAAAAGCAAAAGAAAAAAAAAAGAAATGTGATTTATAACTCAAATACATGGTAAAGAATGCATTAAACTCATAATTCGGCCAGTCTGTATTAGTTAAATCAATTTGGAATTTACATGGGTTCGTAAAATTAAATTCTGTATCACTACTCTGAAATCATTGTAGTTTTCCCACATATAAGTAATTGTTGTCCCCAAGTTCTTACAGTTCAACACGATATATGCATTATGCTGATATTCCTCTTATAGTCTAAATTCACTTGGTGTTTTAAATGAACTTGAAGAGCCTTGTTCCTAATTATTGCCACAAGTACAGAGTACAGCAGGGAGAGTTATGCAGACGGTTCTAAGATGTTCTGTGTCATATTAGAGGCTAAGTCAAACAGCACAGATTTGCTATGAAGTGGTGGCTGCAAATACGGAATGAATTAGCTGTTTCACCGCTAACCTAAGACATTGACATGGACTCATAAAAGATGAACTGACTTATAATAGAAACAATTGAGTGGGAGTATTTTCTTTTAAATTTAAGGATGAGTTGAAAAGCAAAAGGGGCTGTTACAAATGATTTCCTTGGTGTCAAAAATTAATAGTTCTCTTTTTTTGTCATTGGGAAAATGAGTGACAGCCCTTTAGTTGTATTTTGTGCGTGTGGATTCTTTTACTCCCTCTTCTTCCTCTTGTCCTTGCGACTGTATTATGTTGAACTATTTACAACCTCTAAGTTGGGTTTTTCGCATCAACTGACTCTAACCTCTAAGACATAAACCTCGTCTGTGCATGTTCCAATGGCCACATATACTAATAGCATCTTCCTCACAGACATAAAGTTACTGTGCATATCCTCAAACATGAAATGGTTCATGTTTCTTTTTTATGTTTCTTCCTTTGTCCTTTTTTTTTTGTGGTGGTGGGGTGGCTATAACTCCATGGATTTTACTCACTCAATACTGGAGAAACTTCAACACACCTGAATCCAGTTCTCTTTCTCTTCAGTCCTCCTGGGTCAGGGGTTTCTTATGGTAAAGGTTCGAATAGACTTTCATCTTCTGAGTCTGTGCTCAGGCCCTCCAATGTAATCTTTCTCCAGTCTAGCTCCCTTACAAGATATCATTGCAGGTTACCTCATACTGGCATCCATCAATTGGAAAGTAGTCACCAAGAATCTTCTGGTTTATCTTCACATTGCCCTGGGCACTGAAGGGAGGTAGAAATTTCGTCCTCTGCTGCCAAAATATGTGATGTGATGTGGTCTTTCCTCAATACAACTTTGCAAACAGACCCCAACAGTTTGATTGATTCTAAGAAAATACATTCTTTTGGTTCCGTATTGATCTTTTATATTAATCTAGAGTTAACTTCCATGAATTGAACAAGTGTTTCCCAAATTGATGTTTATCAAGATCTGTGGTAATATCTTCTTTATATTCTAACAAATGAAGCTTGCCTGAAGGTCAGAAGGCAGAAATAGCCACTAGCTAACCATAGAGGTCTGGAGGTCTGTGCAGACAGACCGGAAGTGATGTGACTGGGCAGAGACAGGAAGTGATGAGGTGGGAGGAAACCGGAGGTCAGTCTCTTTTTGGCTAGGAAGTTGAGTAGGTGTGTTGGCTGTGGTTTGCTCTTTCGTCTTTCTGATCTCTCAGCATTTCCCCCTATGTCTGACTCCAAGCTTTTATTATTAAGACCTATTAGAACTCAAGCTACAAAGAACTAAGGCATATCATAGGCATATCATTAAGTCCTATGCGAGGTAGTTAGAGTCATGTTCATGTCACAGACATCAAAAGTTTAAAACTGTTGAATGACAAGCTCTTCAGAGAGTGAGTATCAAGTGTTTTAAAGAGACAAACAGAAGGAAGGGCCCTTTCCAGACATTCCTGTTATGGGGGAATGATACTTAAAATACAGTGATTCCTTGTCATAAATGTCTCCCTTGATGATGATCCTCAGCTTTCTAGACATTAACTATGGTCTTTATTGATCAAAGGAAATGTAGGTGTTTTCTTCAAAGCCATCAAGGAAACAGATTAAAGCAAAGCCTGTTGTAGTCCCTATCTGATCCCTTATCCTCATGACAACATTAATAATGGGACCTTTGTTTTCTCATTTGCTATAATTAGGAAAATAATACCTGTTTCAAAGAGTCGTCACAATCCTAAACATGAAAGCCTTCAGCATAGTTGAGGAGCACAGGCACCATTGTGAAGCTAGCGTCATTTAATTATTTTATATAAACAAATACCACAAGAAGAGAGTTGGGTGAAGATGAGGCATTGAGGTGTGTGTGTGTGTGTGTGTGTGTGTGTGTGTGTGTGTGTTTCTTACATATATTAGATATCTCTTCATGGGTATACTTCTTACATGTATTAGCTATTTCTCTGTGTATACACTTCTTACATGTATGAGATATTTCTAACTCAAATATTAGGTAGAAATTAAAATCGTGTTTAAAAAATTTTAAGTACTTAATAACCATTGTAATATTCTAAAATAATCTCTTTACATTTTACATAAATCTGGTTTTTTGTTGTTTGTTTGTTTTTATTTTTTGAAACAGGGTTTCTCCATGTATCCCCAGGCTGCCCTAGAACTCAGCTTTGTAGACCAGAATGGCCTCGACCTCTGATAGCTTCCTGCCTGCCTCTGGAGTGCTAGGATTAAAGGCATATACCACTGTAAATCTTATATCTTTATAAAAACTATTTGAAAAAAATAAGAATTTGTTGATTGTTGGTTTCATGGAAGAAAATCTCAAGTATTCTGGAGCTTTCTGCCTGTCTCTCTTCTGATGTTCCACATGTAAAATCCAAAGCAGTGGAGTGCAGTTAGGATGAGAGACTGTGGTTAGTAGCCTGGTCATCCCTCAGTGCAGGCCAGAGATCACTTCCCAATACCAATGGATGCCAAAACATGGGGAGACCCAAATCCTTCACACAAAGTGACATACTATGTGCACAGGGTCTTTGCACATCTTTTTTCATAGTTTAAAATGTCTCTAGACACTGTAGCACATATACATATGTAATGCAACCCCCATGTAATGCTTGGAATACTGTGATTTATAATGGCAAGGAAATGTTCGTATATCACTAACACTATGTGCTTTTTTTATATAGCACCAATCTGCAGTTGGTTGATCAAAGATTAAGAATCCATGGTTCTTAATTAATATCCTGACTGTTGACAAAAGAAATGCATTGCTCTGAGAAGTAAGAATTTAAATATCAATAAACCATTATATTTCCTGAAATTATATCTATATCCAATCTCTTTATATACATATATTTGTTTCAGAAAAGTACATGTTTAAGTTGCTATCTTCATAAATGCATTAGAAATGAAAGCACAATTAAATTTACTTTTACAATTCAAAAATGGTATATATTTGTGGTGTGTATTTTGGGCATGACTAAATAAAGATGAAGTGTCTATTATTTTTGTGGAAGAGAGAACACAAAATCTCTCTTCAAAATATTAGAGAACATAGTATGTTGTTATTAACTTAAGTCACCATATTATATAAAATTCCTCTGGAACTTACTGCTTTTATTTAACTCAGAATTTACACTCTTTAATTTCTCCTACTATTATTGCCACAGGCCCCTGGAAGGCCATCACTCTGTTCTGCTTTTATAATTATTTTTTACATTCCATAAATACATGAAATCAGCTTGGCGTTGGTGTTGTATTCCTTTAGTCCCAGCACTCAGGAGGCAGAGGCAGGTGGATCTCTGTGAGCTCAAGACCAGCCTGGTCTACAGATTGAGTTCCAGGACAGCCTCCAAAACAATACAGAGAAACCCTATCTCTAAAAAACAACAAATAAATAAATAAACCAGAAAAAAGAATACGTGAAGTCATATAGCAGTTGTGCTTTTGTTCCTGGATTATTTCAGTGCAGTGATCTCCCCCTACACTGATATACAATGAAGTTATCACAAACAATGGCATTTGCCTTTTTTTTTTTAAAGGCCGGAACCCTATCCCATTATGTAAACATACTAGAGTTCCCTTTTGCTATTTCAAATGCATGTTTTTATGTGTAAAGATAAGATTCGCATTTAATAAAGGTCTTATTAAATAGTTATTATCTGTTTAAGCCCTGGGGAAGATATCCCAGTTGCTAATGAGCACCGGAAGGGGAGTTTGATCCCCTGAGTCAGGTGTACGGGAGGAGGGGTGGGGCTGGCATGGTGGCCCGTGCGTGACATCCAACCAAGTGCTAGGGAAGTGGAGACAGGAACACACTGGGGACTTGCTAGTCAATCAGCCTAGCATAATTGACAAGTCCTATTGCCCAGTGAGAAGCACTGTCTCAAAAAATGAGCTTCTTGGATCCTAAGCAATTACATCTGAGGTTTACTTCAGGTCTCCACACATATTTTTATCCACCTTGATACATGAACACCTCCCACATGTACAGATACTCATGAGAGCACACATACACACACACACACACACACACAGACAGGCAGACAGAGACAAAGGAGATCTGATGAGATTCTTCTCCGTTCTTGGATTATGGTGTTATTTTTATGGCTGATTATATCTCTTACTACTATTAAGTTTTTATTGCTTCGGTTTATTATAAACTGATTCCTTTCACAGAAACCTCCTGGTCTTATGACCTCATCTAAAACTATTATTATCTTAAATGCCATAAATCTACCACAAGATAGATTCTCAATTTAAAATGTTGATTATAATAAAATAATTATAATACAAATAAATGTATTTAATGAGTGCCTACCAAGTGTAAATCCCTGTACAGATAATAGAAATTTTGTAATTTAATTACAACGGAGACAATGCAATAATTTCCCAGTCTCATGAAAATTCACATTCTAACTTTATAATGCTGGCTGATCTTAAATGTTGTAGAATTTGTAGTCTTCTACTATTTCATTCCATCCATCTCTAATTCTGTTGAATCTTACTGGAAAAAAGCCAGGTAACTAGCTGACATTTAGATGTGCCCTTTGTGTATTCAAAATCATCACTGTGAACATGAATCATCATTGTGAACATTTAATTTGGGGAGCACAGGCTAAAAGGAATATCTGTCTTGTGTTGAGAGAATGAAAAACAGGGTTGTGGCTATCAGAAACCGAACGAGGAACGCTTTCCAGAAAGATCCATTTTAGTTTTTATAGAGAAGAAAAGAGTCACATCTTTGGCTCCCAGGTTAAGAAGTCAGAGTCCTGAGAGAGAAGGCACTTGAGAGATGTGCGCCTTCCTTTGTTTGGAACCTCAAACTTAGGCTGCTATCCTGGGCAAGGCAAACAGGAAACCAGGCAAAGCAATGCTTAGAGGAAAAAAAATAAATAGATCAGGAAATCTGAAGACATGATTTTCACATTTGCTTGTAGACTGGAGGAGAGGCAAAGGCTGGCTGTGAGGGCTGCCAGAAAGTCAGCACACACACACACACACACACACACACACACACTCATACACACACGCACGCACGCACGCACACACAGGAACGGAAGGGAATTCACAGCTGTAGCCACGAGACACCACTTCGGGGCCATTGTGGCCACAATGGACTGAGAACATGTGAACATGGACATGTGCTTTCTTTAAATGAAACACTAATTTAATTAAAACAATTTAAAACCAAACGAGTGTAACCTAAACTGTGTAGCTTTCATACATTAAGAAAGGAAACATGCACAACCTCATTTTTATAGATACGGAAGAATCCTGTGAGTGCCACTAATTTGTACACTGCAAAGCTGAATAAACTGGTCAATGTATAAAATAAACTCTTAGGAGGGAGTCTTAGAGAATATCGCTTTCATTAAAAGAAAAATTTGTACCTTATGGCAAGTCTTCATTTTAAATTTTTATTTCTTACCAACAAGGAATCTTTATATGAAACGGTTTATATAAAATTTCAGATGTCTTGGAAAGCTAAATTTGAAAGTTCATTTTACAAACTTACGTTCTTTCCACCTTTACCTTCAGATTTCTACATGTATGCATTATTTCTTACGTTAGTTGATTTCTGTGTTTTCAGTTGTCAGTCTTACACTGGAGCTTGGGTTTAGTGACCTGGACTCTAATGATGGGTTACAGGGTCCACTTGAACAGTCACTCAACTGTAGGATGTAGCCACTTAACGCTGCAGGCAAATTGTTGTCCGTTCTGCGCTATGGTGATATCTCGCTTGCACAAATAAAGCCTGTCTGAAGGTCAGAGAATGGGGCTTGCCACTAGCTGGCAGAGGTCTGTGGGTCTGTACAGACGGAGAGGAAGTGAGGTAGCTTGGCGGAAACCGGATGTAAGCAGGGAGAAACAGGGACTTGCTCTGTTGTCTGCAGAGATGCTAAGGAGGTGAGGTGTGCTGTGGCTTGTTCCTTCTCTCCTATCTCCCCGCATTTCCCTCTATATCTGACTCTGGGTTTTTGTAATCTAGACCAGTTAAGAACGCCATTTACATTTTGGTGCCCGGAAAACTCCATTTACACTGCACTTCAGTCTTCCTGGTCTGAGCATCAGGTACAACGACACAGCATCCCTTCTGAAACTGCTGCCCAGCTCTGGAGTCCATAGCTGGCCGGGTGCCCAGCAATTTCAAGAGAAATTTGCATCTCTGGCTCAATGTATCAGTTTCCTATGCTCATTTGCATGTTGACTGATATCTGGGTTTTACATCCGCTATTGTTTTGCTTTGTTTTATTTTATTTGAGACCAGCCCAGGCTGGTCTCAAAGTCATGATCCTCCTGCCTCAGCCTCTTGAGTGCTATATGCCTCATCACTCCTTGCTAGGTTCACAGTTAATCAACTTAATTCCTTATGTGGCTTGCTGTGTTGGAACTGTCCATTGATTGTAACATGCTACTGTTTCATGTTTCCACTTGTCAAAGGAATTCAAAATGATGACACAGCTAAGTATCAGCGGCTCGGCTGATACACTTTTAAAATTCACACATATTTGAAGAACGGAGTGAAATTCCTGGTGCAGTCGCCATGAATTAATTAGTGAGAGGAACTTGAGTTGGTTTGCTAACCATTCCCCAAAGCGTATGGTAACTCAGTGGAAAGTTTACTGCTTCGTCATGGCAGGTCTCTTATCTAACTGATGGCTAAGTTCCCCTGATCTCTTCGTCTTGCACTACTAGCATTTCTAATCTATGACTTCAGTTTACTCCATGATGGAAGAGAAAAAACACCGCAGAGAGCACAGGTAGAGCACAATGATCCCTTTCACGATTCTTGTAACTATAAACGTCGTTTATGCTACAAGGCAATAATAAATGTAGTGACATTCTGTTTCGTAAAATTTTGTGCGAAAAGTTTCATAGTGTTTGTTGAATAGCATCTGTGTGTTGTTATATCTGTTCATACCCATCATATAATTAGTAACTGAAAGAGTGGGAATGCACTTGTGTCTCCTTTCTGTGCTATTTATGTATAAACAGAAATTCCTTTGGTGATACAGAATTTATTGTTGATGAACCTTTGCTTGCTTTGAATGATCCAATGATCCTCTCTCTCTCTCTCTCTCTCTCTCTCTCTCTCTCTCTCTCTCTCTCTCTCTCTCTCTCTCTGTCTCTCTTTCCGTCTCGGGACAGGCTCTTACTGCATATCCATGGCTATCATGGAACTCCCCATGTAGTCCAGGCTTCAAACTCAAGAGAGACCCACCCGCCTGAAGGTTTTTGCCATTAACACCCATATGCTTTCTTTGCTTGAAGATCTTGAACTAATTTAGTAGGAAGTTCTGTACTTACATGCATATAAATCAAAACCCAAGTTGCTAGTGTCTAATTTTATGGCTCGAAATTTTTAAACAGGAGTTTAAAGGGTTTCTGCTTGTGGATTTGGTGGAGGATTCTGGCGATCCATTCTGTGGCTTCATGCATGTTGAGCATACAGCATAGCGCTGAGTTCCATTTCCTGCTCCTGCGAGACTCAAAAGCTTTCCGCTATCCCTCCTGTTGTAGGTTCCACAGAGAGCATTAGTGCTGGGGTCCACTCTTTTATTCTGGATCAACAACTACAACTCCACTTGACAGCATCTTTCTTTAGATTTACCAACCCTAGCCTGCAGTTTCTGCAACCATATCTCTCTTACAGTCACCGTTTTGAAAGTTGATCTCTGTGAGGATGGGAATCCAAAGTGGAGGAGAACTGCCCTAACTTCCTATCACCTGCCAACTTTGTATTTTCTGGTTTTTTTTGCAACATGGGCCATGTCTTTCCTGGCCGTTGTGTGGACAGAGGGAAGCCTGCCCTTCCCATGGCCGTTAGCATCACCCCTGGCATGCTTCAAAGTCCCTGTACCTTCTGCGTCATAGTTTCCTGAGGTAATCTTCAGTCACTCATAAACCTTTCTTATGTGGATTCCTCATTTCCCAGAATGAGTACAAAATATTCTTTGAACTAGAGGATCCACTTATCATAGAAATATCTACAAGAAAAAACATCTGTTATGGTGTGTCTATCACTGTCTAGGGTCTAAAATCTTAATTTCCTTTAAATATAATTTTTCAGTGTATTTTTTATATTTAAGCAGTTTAGAGAAATGAAACTGATATTATAGCAAGACAGATGGCAGCACATTTAGTATCAGGGGGAAAAAGATGCTTTCCTTCGTTTCTGAAAACATGGCTTCACTTCTCCTGGGCTCTTTGTGTTTATGCATTTCTTCCGTTAGGATTTCTAGTACCGTGGTACGGTATCCATGTTCAGATTCTGGCTCTGGGACTGGCCCTTTTCGGCCTCTCTGTGTCCATGGGTATTTTGATCTTTGGGAAACTTGGCAAAAGTCTCTTCATATTTCTGTTCACTGTACTGCTCAAGATGATTCTTCTCGATTGAACAGTTTTCCCATCAAGTTCCTGAAAAGTCACTGAAGTCATTGGAAAAGGGGAATATTCGACTGTCTAACTGGACAAAACCCTGATGAGGTTAGCAGCAGGCACAAGTGTCCCTGCAGTCCCAAGTGTCATCTTTCTGAACTTAGTTTCTGTTTCATGCCCTGTCTCCACGTCTCGAACCAGTTTCCATTCTCTATATCCTAGATAACGTATGAAAAACCTGCTATGAGCTTAACACAAAGGATCGATCGATCAATCAATCAATCAATCAATCAGTTGAAAACTCACCTTTCTCCACATTAGGAAAGATACTGGTTGACTCGGGAGAATTTCTCATTCCAGCGCCACCTGTTACATGGCGTTGGCCAAGCTTCACTCCTGGCCACACCAACCCATGCAGCAGGTCACCCAAGCACCATTTATGACAGGTTGATCCAAAGCACATTACATATTACTTGGTAGTACAAAGAGTAATTAGGAAAAGATGATATTTGAACGCTATTACCCAAAATGCCATGTTTCTGATACTACTCTTATTGACTCTTTGTTCTTCTAACAGGCAAGGAAGCATGGAAGACTCGGGTGCCTTGATTTATCAGCATATGATTTCCATGTAGAATAAATTCTGTTTCACACATTATTAGATAAGCATTGTGCCGACACAATGGCTTACACAAAACACAAGTTTCTTAGACATTACATAGTAGTTTTAACGTGTTGTGGCATTATCATTTGTCATAGCTCTCTTGACCAGTCTAATGTCTCTTATGATTGTCCTAGCCATTTATCATCATGTAACAAAATCTTTCAAAGCTTCATGCCTAAAAAAAAAACCGATGGTGCTGATCTTGCTCACATCTCTGAGATTTGTGTGAGGGTGTATGATAACATTTCATTACCACAGGACTTGCCTCATTTGAAGGTGAATAAGTAGGGTCATATGAAGGCTTACTCCTCAGTCATGTTTCATGGTTCATGCTACATATTTGTTCACACTTCAGCTGGTATTTGGCTTGGACTAGTGACATGTGACCTCACGCCAGGGTCTCATCTTCCCCCACTAAATGGCAAATGGTCTCCATTACTGAACTTCTTAACATGAAGAATCAGGCAGAAGCTGTGTTGTTAGCCTGTTCATTGGAATACATATGAGGAACCCCTTGACAAAGAAGGGTTATGAGTCACAAACAGCTCCCTAGTTAGGGCGGGACTCTGTGTCTGCTTTCCACTCTCAGTGCTGGGACCCCATCTTGCTTGGATCTGTGTGGGTCTTGGGTGCTACCACTCTCTTTAGACCATATGAACCTCAAGGGACATGCATTTGCCCAGATCACACATTATCAGTGGAGATGAATCGCAATTACAGTGAATTTGTTTTGGCACCAAACCCTGCACTTTTTGCCCCTACAGCCTCTCACTACACTCGCCGCGTTTAGTACAGGTCCATACACATGGATATTAATGCTTTTCAGTTTTTACTCGACTTAAATAATTCACAGGTCCAATTACCCACTGGCATGTGGCTAGTTATTGAGGATTTTGAACTCAGTGGGATATAAAATGGTCTGATTCTTTTAAATCACTTCCTTCACGCGGGCTCTGTGGAATTGCCTGGTTTTGTGTCAGTAATGAAACCTTGGTCTGAGTTCGTAACTTTCTGGCTGCTGCTGGTTATTAAAATGTAGTCCAGGTCCATTTTATAAATATCCAATTCAGGATTCTCCTCCCCACTCCTACAGAGTCCAAAGTGTCCTAAGAACATGGGATTTTGGTGGGAAGCAATTTTCTTGGATTCTCCTTCCTTTCCTCAAGTTGGTTTACCACTTCTGTCCTGGTTCTAATGACCGCACAACTGACAAGACACCAAACTGCTTATGTAGTTGTGTGTGTGTGTGTCATTCCCCGCCCCCATGTGCCCTGGGTCTTTGAGATTTCACTTAGCATTGGTGTGGTGCACATTATTTAAGTGTGTCCAGCCCCTGCAACCACTTAAACCTCCCTCAGAAGGAGCAGCTCTTGGTCCATGTCAGCAGTGAGGCAGTAGTTCTATCACATGGGCTGTCTGTCCCCTGTCCCCTCCACCTACTGCAAAGTCCCCTACCACACTGCACCATGCTGTTCCTTCTCTGTGACAGGGGTGTGTTAACAGACCTGTCACCTTTAGAGCTGTGAAGAGAGAGGACTTCTCAGGTCTCTCTGTCCCAGTGCAGCTTGGAGCTGACAGTGTTGAAGGCTTTGCACCAGGGTCCTTTCATTTCAGGCACCCTCTGTTGGGGGCGGGGGATAGCAGAACACTGAAGGGGCAGGGGAAGAGAGGGGGGAGGAGGCAAGGAGAAAAGGAACAGAAAAAGTCGAAGGATATGGAAGAGGTAAAGAGGTTAACAGCATGATGGAGGAGG